TCCTCGGCTCCTTATCATAGATTGGCTCCGCTTACCGGACAGAATCTCAATTGAAGAGTATATTAAGTTTCTGCCGTTTGATCACCTCAGCTTTTTGTCAACCTAGTGGAAGCGGTGTTCTGACGACCTGAAAACTAGTTTGTTTGATGAAGGTCTCCATTTTAAAAAAGGTTTAGTGATAAATTTAGTACCAATTTAGGTAAGGGGCTTTCCTTTTCAGGCTGCTACACAATAAGATGTCTCGAGCTAGTTAAAAAATTGAGAAATTCTACTACGACCGTATGTCGTGTTGGTGACGATTTTTATATTCTGCATCTAAAAAGTTTCTGTTTCTCGCTTCCTGGGGCACCCAACAGTGCTGCATTTTCCAGTTTCCTCTACGTTAAACAGCAAAAACTATGATAATTTTATTGAACCACTCGGCATTTCGTAAATCAAGGTTTCAATCTACTGTAATTCCGGCCTCTGCAGAGACGACTTTCACCCTGCTTCGCCGGTCGCTTTGTGCCCGGAAGCATAATGTCTAAGCGTTACAATTAAAACGACACCCATATCGTCCCACTTTAGTACGTTTCCACTTCTGGTCGTCTGATCACGACATTTCTACTGCCACTCGCAAACAACACCGCACTTAATTTCGATGGCTGATGACATGGGTGAAATTTTGTAGGTTCAAGGAGTGAATTTGCTCTCAACCGGCCCCTATGTGTTTACACGCCGTCTCATTCCGTCGGGTTCATGTGGACATTGGCAACCTGCAACTAGAACTGCTTTCGGTTCTAAATGAACTGCATGTGGTTTAGTAACAATCCAGGGCCGACCAGTGGTTACATCAGACCAATGTCGGACCATGATTACCCATGCCCGAACGAGTGTTTTAGGCTGTAGTTATCCAGCGTTTCACATACTATTCCTGATATAACAGCCTGAACGCCTGAATGTGTCCCATGAGAGATGCAGGTTGTGTGACAATAAGCCCTACCATTCAGTTGAGTCGGTCAATATAAGACTGGAATCAAAATTGTCGAATCGAAAATTGCTCGGAAGGTTTCGAATATCTGTGGCACTAGCTGACTGGGAAGTCCTTGTAGGTTGACCAATTGATCGACACAACCAGAACGGCTACTTGTTCGTGGTTTTAGGAGTCGGGAAATCACTTCGCTCGAGCTGGAACTTATCCTCTTTAGAGGTGCTAATTGAGGTATGTCCAGCGTGCACTGGTGGAGTTTCGGTAACACGGCTGTCTCACAAGTCCGGAGTTTGAACCGAAGTACGGCCAGGGATATACGAACTGCTGATGGGCTCCAGTAATAGCGAACCTCGATTCTGGTGCTTCCTCCCATTTTGGTGTGGTCTCACGAGGACAGAAGGAGGGCTGTTCAAAGGACGGTCAAGGGGACGTGGATGTACATGCTAATGTATATTCGCGGTCGCCTGATACACACCGGAGCGACGCGTTTTCCTCAAAGGCTTCACTTGTGTTTCGGACCAGCTAATGAGCCCGGCAGTCGGGGCCATCAAAATGAACTATTCTTAAACGCAAATGAACGGTTTGAAAAGTCCGTATCCTTAACGACATAAAGTTGTGTCATATTTGCTTGTGGGATGACAACGATCTACATTGCAGTGCATTCCCTTCGAAAGACGGCTATGCTCACCCGAGTTCTGAAGAACTGTGACTGTAAGCTGGTTAAGTTAAGTCTGCCTGTTGTGCCCTTCAAAGTGTGGCCGTATCATTCGTCGTTCCGCGCAAAATTTCCATGCAAGCAAAATGTATCATACTAAAAAACATCATTTGGTACCTCTTTGTCAATAATCTTCACTCATCCTATTCCACTTTTGTTTTCAAAACAGCAAATCACACCTTCAGGCAAAAGTATGGCTATCTACGTACACTTTCCTCTCAGACGCTACAGTCTTTCTGTTTTTTTGGCCAGTAAAAAGAGCCCACATTACGAATCCACCACAGTAGTCCACGTACACACTGCTTGCCATATTGAAAGTAACGTGATAGGATGAACTGTGTAGGCCTAACTAAACCTGGCGTCTTCAGACTATTGCTACAGATTAGCACATGCAGATCCTGGTTTGTCTTCACGCAAAATACTTCTATCGCTGACCGCGCGGAACACTAGAGCCGTCACTCTGCTCCACATTCGAGGAGCACGGCACTGTTATGGCAACACTTTTCTAAGTCACTTGAGCTGACCAACAAGCCTCTTGTTTCAATACCTGCAAAATAAATCTTTCGTGCAAGGTTATAAATAACAACGGGCCATCGGTACAAAACCAAGACTCCACACCTCTTCAAAATAAGCCAGTTTGTTTTTGAGTGAGCGGTTATCAGAACAGGACTGCAGTTAGGATTCAAGCTATTCTTCTACCTTAGGTTCGGGCTCAAAAGTTTTGTAAGAGATTTCAGTGTAGGGAGTTACTTTGTTAAGGCTGGAAAGAGTATATCGTTTGTACCACACTTTGTCGACTCCTGCTGGATTTAGTTTACTTAGATTTACAAACACCTGTTCTCCAATAGTGATGGTCCATGAATAACGCGATGGACAAAATTCACACTATCTTTCCGACAAGAACTTTCCCAAATGCCAAGAAGCTTGCGAAATCAATGGGCATCAACCAACTGCAATCAAACTTCTTGTTACTGCTTTTGATCGAACCACCCTCGTTAGAGTGAAGAAAATATATCTGGCCTAGTTATCATGGTTTTGTGCATACCTGGGATGAATCTAAGACTTTCGAGTAATTTCCAAGTCCGACCGTTGATTTCTCCGAAATCTAAGCTGAATCACTTGATTATGAGATTCTCCAGTAAAGTCTTCTTTTGAAACTAAATCGATGTGCAAATGAATGCATTTCTCGAATTTTGTGCCATGCAGGTTGACGAAGAACACGATTTTGATAGAAACTCAGGGTTTTAATCTACCGGATGAGCGTCCAGAGGGGTAAAATTGGTCTTGGGCTATCAAAGGGCTTTTAGCAACCCCATGAGTAGTAGGTTTCCTTCAAAAAATGTACTGCAACGTCTGCAATATCGTACACCGATTGAAACATGAGGCTGCCTGTGTGCAACAGGTCCACTTGAAGCATACCATGAACAAGAATTTCAGCAAAGATTCAGAACAAATTAGTGTGCCCCCCCCCAGAAGGACTAGCAATGTTTCACGGTTACAAAAACCCTTGAGAATCAGAAGCACAGTGTTGCCACTAAACGAGGCAAATTTACATGTCCCTGTATGTGGTCAATCCATCGCCTGCAGTCTTGGTGAAGTCCACTGAGGTAGAACTAAAAGGGGTTTAATTAACATAATCCTCAGAGTGATGCAAAGAAGTTTTATCAGTTTTTCCAACAGCGGTTCTGCTTATGGCGGCAAAAGTTTCTCACATGACCACTACTTTGTTCTGAATATCTGACTGATGTTTTCTCGCAGTTCCATGTTTGAACAAGAGTTCTTCATGAAACTTCAATGATCCAGCTATTCAGATCAAGCCTTTTCATTCAGACAAGCCCAGGAGAGACTTTACGGGTACGCTGATCCATGTGAGCAATTTCAACGTTTCTTGCCAGAAATTCGAATTTTGAATTCCTCGAATCCGTTTACTCAACTACCTGTTTCATTTATAGAATTTCGCCCCACGGCATTCTCGTTACAACAGCCCCCTTCTCGTCCGGCTGGATCACACATTTCAATCCACAACGGTGCACCGGGATAAGGAACATATAACTTGTAGGAAGGATTTGAAATGCCCCCGCTCTTTAAAATCTGTTCTCTCGTTCTACCGCATTTACGTTGTTTAATTGCATTTCCTCATCAAATCGGTCGATCAAAATTAGGCTCTTCTAAAATCTGATCTCTGCTGAAAATAGAATACTACAAAACTGCAGATTTTTGCTATTGAGCAGAACGTTGGTGGATCATTTAGCCGAGATTATCCTTGGTTTGTCCGCTGAGCTAAGCTTGGCTCAGCAAGCAAACCAAAGGCCATCTACTGCGAATAGCTGGAAAAATTTCTTCAAAGAAGTCTTTATGTGCATTGTGACTCCAAGAAAGGACAGTTCCCTAAAGGCCTGAAATGCCTGTTTCAGCATCGGTCAAGTACCTGGCGCCCCGCTATTTTTGTCTTGCTTACCTCATTCTCGTTCCCCAGTCCTACAGAGAGTGTCCGATGCATTTATCTGACTATCGATTACGGATTACTGAGTTGCACTACATCCTAACAGCGTGTCAGATAATCACACTACTGATAGGTCGCGTGTCTTTAACTTGTATTCGGCAGATCACAAGTTCGAACTCACCCAGGGATTCGTGATTTTTTTTATCACGATGAAAATTCTTTGCTGATTTTTTTATCACGAATGAAACATCTATGCTGTATGGATTGACTTCATTTACAGGATGAAATCTTACGGATTACATACTCCCTGTATCCTTTTGGGGAACCTAGACTGTTCTCATCAACATGTCTCAGTGAGACTCTCAAGGTGACTCGATAAGTGTCTCAAAGTACCACTGGCAATAAGCTGAAGAGTTGCAGACTTATCAGGACGCTTAGCTCAATGTCGTATCATTTCAGGATTTCTGCACACACTTGGCCGGTGCATCCAAAAGGCTGTCTTAAATGTGCGCTCCAATAAAAATCAATTTCAGCCAATACACACCAAAGACAATGGGTCATTGAAGCGTGGGCAAAGTTCCATGCATGTTCACTTAAAAGCAAACTTAAAAGTAAACTTTTAAGTTTGGGAAAACCTAGTAGATAAGTGGTTTTAAGCTGAGGATGATTTACTTCACCTGGGATGAAATTTTGAATATTCACGAAGCTGTGTACTGATAGGCCCCTTTCTGCACCATGTGAAAGCTATGCTAAACCAAACCTGCCTTTTACTTTCTATCAGCACTCATCCTACTACCCCTCTCAAGCATCAATGCTTGTGGGCTTATCGTAGAGAACATCAGACTTGATGTGCTCGCTTGTCCGTAAAAATAATGTCAGAGGAGAGCAAACAGTGCGTCGGATTCAACACGAACGCTTTATTCTCTCCATTCGACGCACGTTTCGCCGGCTGTCAACGTTCCGTGCAACGGTGGACTGGAGCGAACCTTGTCACGCTCACCGTCATCATGATCTCCATTATCCTCGCCGTCAATATGATCGTCAACATGGTCATTGTGACCATTATCGTTAATCTCATCATAATCGTCATCGTAGTCAGCTACAATACCTTACGCGGTCAGTATTGTGCTTTCCTACCGTATCCCTTCCAATCCGTTCTCTCTAGATTTTCTCGTGTTACCTGATTTGGTTTTCGAGTGATCGATTCTGTAGTTAAATATGAGTTTAAAAAATATGGATAATTCGAATGATCCCCGTCCAAAAAGTGGGGAGAGCTGAAAGACCATAGATCTTCCAGACAGTATTTAGAGAACATATGCACAGTGTACCAGTAACGGTGATACTGCTGATTGGAGGGCATGCTAGTAGTATATTTTCTCGTAAATCCGCTTTGTGTCTCTTGAAAAGTGAGATCTATTACGGGATTTGTGGAGTCGCTCTGTAGCATTTGCTTGCAATTGAGTAACAGTCATTGAATATCCAGGAAAGTTCAGAAAGAAGCGTTCAAGGAGAAGATGGATATTCAGTTTTGTAAATTAGATGCATATGACAGTTTTCTTCCCCTGTCCAATAGTCTGTAACTATTCAGTTGGTGTTTTCCTAACAAACAACTCAGTGAAGGCCTTCTCCCTTTCACCAGAACATGAGCGACAACAGATCTTTTAAACGGCTGGTTAAAATGGATCGTTTTGCACCCATCTTAACAGCTGATACGTTCAAAGTATAAACAATTGCCATGTTTCGACTGGGTAATATTTGTAGACGTCTAAGGGACTGATGAGTATGTTTCAAGTAGTTCCGCACTCACTATTCATGGGCGCTGTTCCGCGGTGATTCAGAATTTTTTATTGACGTGGGATTGTGATAGACTTGGGCAACAGAGCAGTGGCATTTGGCCTCACTTCATCTCACTTCCTCGTTATAGTTCGTTCGCAGCATCTATGAATAGTACAATACGACAATCAAACTATCGAGTTATGGAAGCCCACATACTTCCGTTGGTAACGTTGAATTGGTGGTCCATAGTCAAGGACCTTCTAAAGGACGTTACTCCACTGTTTTGTTGTTATGGTCTTAGCATATAAATGCGTCTCTGAACGTTTGGTTCGAAAACAGCGCGAAGATTGATTATCATTTTTTATCGATTGTTTTGAAGCGTTAGGGGACACTAGGGTTACTGGTAGTATGTAATTTACAATTGATATTTCATCGTTTAAGTGAGACTTGTCTACACTGATAAGTAACAAATTCATCCTTATTGGGAATCTGGCTTTTGAAATTGAACTGAACATTATGGGTACAGATTAGAAGTAGTGCCTCAAGATCCAAGATGGGAATGCCAATATCCTTAACGTTGCACTCATTCAAATAATAAACACAGTCTCAGGGAGTGATACGTTGGTAAACAATGACTGGACGTCCAGGGAGATCTCAAATTGTTTATTAGCTTTCACAACTTTAGTCTGATTGACGAAATCAAAACTGTCTCTAAGGCTGTGTTGTTGCTTCTCTCCTGATTGTTTCCAACAGACTGACAAGCCATATAGCCAAAGCGTGAGAAGGATTAAACGTATCCGGGATGGGTTTGAGGGGTAGGCCGGATTTGTGCACTTTTGGGGAACAATGAGGCCGAGGAATTGTTGTATCGGTAAAGCGGATACGCCCGAAAGTATTGGTATCAATGTTTCTGGATTGTTTAAGATGTAATATGCTGGACACAACTTGTTCAATCATCTGCGTCTAGACTTTTTCGGATTTCGTTTTTTTTTAAATATGGATCCGTCCAAGAAGATGGTGCTCAACTTATGAACGTGGTCAAATTTATCCATCAGGGCAATTCCTGTGCCTTTATCTTGCTTAGACAGTAAATCTTAGTCGTTATGCGGTAAATGTTCGAGAGTCTCGAAATGTTTCTTTGTTGAAAGTCTTTTAGGTCTGGGTTTGTAGCCGAGGTATTGAAAACATGAACTGACTAGTGTCGATTTCAGTTGTTTTGCACTCGGTTCAGAGGAGGGTACTATCATGGGTATCTGATCATTTAGACTCTAATATTGGACTTGAAGCTGGAGATGGCTATTCCCGCGACTAGAAGAGCAAAATTTTGGACCTAGCGAAAACGTCTTTAAAAGGATAGTGTACAGAATTACCGATGTAAAATTGTGCGCGTATCTTTTTGGATCTGTCGGAAACCTCGTTCATGGTATTAGTGGACTGGATTGGCTGATATCTGTTTGTCTGGCAATGATGAGTCGAACGTAGGCGTCGAAGTTTAAGCCATCGGATATCGTCAGAGTTTCTGGCGCGCCTGCACATTAGGCCTGTTTATGTTCTAGTTCACGAATATTTTTTCTGATTGAGTCACACACACATTCTGTTTGTGGCAACTTAGTTCAGTGGCCGTTGGATTAATTCGGCTTCTGCGTAGAATTACCAAATAATGCGCTGGAAACTGATTGTACTCCATACACTGACTGAGGACACACAGCTTATTCCGGGCTTCCGCAAATTTCGCGTTGTTCCTCAGAAATTTCGGAAATTCTTTAGTGTGCATGGATCTTTGGAGTGTCTCAAGTGGCTGAATATACCCGTGGAACTCGTCAAAAGAACGAAGGCACCGAACAAATTCTGTTTTTTTTTGTCGTTGTCTCTCTATACTAACACATAATAGATTTATATGGTACCAGAAATCAAGTGAAATCACGTGAAATTCGGTGGTGCATTGACTTTAGTAAGAGAAAATAAAAGGAAGCGGGGTTGAATGAGGTACACAGGTCAGTGGATCACGGAATCAAGTTTAATTTCAACAATCATCAGTAATGCGCATCTCACGAAACTCCATTAGGGAGTTTTGAACTCTTGTCCGTTCAAACTCGAGTGGCTGATCAATAGTGTGGTTTACTCCCATTTTGAAGGGACATAGCGCCACTCATCCTTCAATCACAAAAAACCATAAAATCCACGAAAACTGACAAGTCAGCCACCAGTAAGCAGTTAGTTAACGCACGTCAAAGACCCATTGTCATTCGATTGAAAAGCTGAGATCCAAACCATACAAAGTTGCCATAAAATGGTTGAACTGGTCAACCGGAACATGAATTTGAGCGGAACAGATATGGTGTTTTTAAGTTCGGTAATATGCTCAGTTGTCCGAACCTAACCGTCCGGGAGAGGGGGCGCAAGTTGCCTGCATCCACTAGGGTCCATACTACGTTGATCGTGCTGCTTGTTAGCTACTTACAAGCATGATTAGAAATGAAAGCTAAGGTTTGCGGATGTTGTTCACCCAGGTCTCAAAAAATGAATTAGACTTGTTTTGTTTTGTCTCACAGGAGTGAGTTTTAAATTAGACAATAAGAACAGTGTTGCTCCTCCCTTGAGAGAGCAACAGTTCCACGACTACAGTCCCACGCGCCTGAATTAGACCGAACTGTTGCAATCGTATACGGATTCTTTGGGTGTATGTGGGGGTAAAGAGCACAGCGTGATACAACCCGCGGAAAAAACTGCTAGGTAGTGTATATTTTTAATGGCAACTCTCGTGTTCCGCTGGCTTATGGGGTAAACTTGAAGATAACTACAATAATGCCAAATAAGACTTACTGTGAAGTTTTTGCTTCCTAGACCAAAATGAAAGCAAGAAAAATCGAAAAAGCTTACTCTCACATTGGTTTAGCAATTCGTTTACTTGCAGCTACGCAGTTGTCGTTAACGCAGCAGCAACTTACAAAGAATCGATCGCAAGACGCAACTCACCTCAGTCACTTCGCTTTTAAGATCTCTTTTAAACTGACTAGGATTCGTTGTCTGCTCAATTTCGGATATGACCGTTGCCAGACAAGGTGGCTGTTAAGAAGGGCCTGCTTGTGACGTTTCCTTTACCGTGACTCTCGTGACCAAGGTTTTAAAATATCTTACCATCCTCTGTTCGTCTTTGAATTTTTGAATTTCCAATAACATGTCCGCTTTCAGTTCACACGGTGTATGCTTGTAGCTGACAACATTGTGCGAAATGGCACCATGCCACGGCCACTGTCTTCTCAAAACTGAATGGTAACTTGAAATGTAACGACTTGCAACAAGGTCGTATTGACAACTTCAAATATCGATTTTCGGCGTTCATCCCTCCGGTCGTTGTCAGCGTTGCCTTTGACTTATTAAAGTCATACGGTTACCCAGATAAGAGAAGGTCTAGAGTCTCCGACACATACGAAGGGGAAATCTCGGACTTTAGTACGACCTATCTAACTCTACGTATTATCACTTGGTGATTATAACAATCTCAAGAATGGTATCAAGACTTTGACCCAGGTACCCCTCTTCACGAATTATAAGAGATCAAGAAGGTGTCTCCCAATGCTTCTTTTTAAGCAGAAAAATGGTACCTTCGCGGAAGACACTCATTCATCTGTACATTAAGTTGGTTTTAACGGGAGGCTCAACTAAGACCTTGCTGAATCTCTCGATATTCTTTTTTAACTGGACGTGTTGCATAAAAGGCGCCCCATAATTCAGTTGATAATATATTTACTAACCTTCTCCCCTTTCAAACTGTCGACTGGATCCCAGCTTCTTCCGTTCTGAAGGAGGTATGCTTTGTAGTCACTCTGCAGGTAACTCAAAATTTGGCGCCACCTGTATGAAAGACTGGATGGCTGTGGGTAGTCTACCAGTTTTGAGTAGGGATGATTAAATTGGGATGTTACTGTGGTCCACTGTGACCTCTTTCTCTGATGCCAAGTTGCCACCCAGGTAAAAGGTTCGACTTTTAACCTCGCGTCACCTTCGCCCCCATTGAGTCATTTTGAAGAACGGACACCATGCAATATGTCAACTTACACAGCGGCCTGACAACGATCTTGGATAAACCGTTACTCTAGTGATTGCACTCGAGTACAATAGGTGTATTTCTCAGGAAACGGGTTCATGTAGTTTTCGGACACATCTATTTCACTTTTGTTTTGTAGTAACTCATGAAGAAGACTCCCTTTTAAATCTATGTGGAAATTGAGTACCGTGGCTTGCTTTCAAACACATATCGATTTAGTGTTGCTCAACAATTCCCACCTTTCATAGTATTCCAGGTCAGTTTGACCCTAGAGGGAAAGTTTCACTTTTCC